AGATTCTGGAAGCTCCCTGGGAGTTTGATGAGGTCTTACTGGTACTTGGTTGTGCTATCATCCTTCCTTAAATACCGCGCTCTAGAGTCTTCAAACTTTGCTTATTGACAAAGAGTATAAAACTGCAAGAGGTCCAACTGCCGGGGATTCTTTGAAACGCAATCCTATTTTTAAAAAGTACTACCCAAAAGGGGCGTGGCCTTTAAAAGAACGTAAAGTGCATTCATATCGAACGCGTGCTGTGTCTATAGAACGTATGCAGGAATTCAAAACGAAGCACGCGTTCGATACGAACGCCTTTTACGTTCTTATGAAGGACACGCCCTTTCATACTTTTTAATGTTCCATTACCTGTATACAAAATAAGGGCAGTCGGACCTCTTGCAGTTTTATACTCTTTGTCAATAAGCAAAGTTTGAAGACTCTAGAGCGCGGTATTTAAGGAAGGATGATAGCACAACCAAGTACCCAGTAAGACCTCATCAAACTCCCAGGAAGCTTCCAGAATCTTCAGTAATGACTATTAGAGTGTAGTGGATTGAATTTTTTGGTTTGAAAAATGTCAAGGTTAACGCACAAAAGTCTGAAGACTCATTTTTAATTAAGGAGATCTTCTGGTGTTGAACTTGACAGTACACTGGAATACATACCGTAATTTTTTCTGAAAGTGTACCACATTTTTTATGGCGCACTTGGACCATATGTACAGCGAACGAACAGCTTAAACCATCTCACATCTGAAAGATGTTGTGTGCCTAATGAACACTAAAACGACTAATCTGGAAGATTTGGTAAAACTTCTGTCAGTGACACTGCTCAGATGGTCTCTATGTTATACAGAAGGGACATCAATGGCAGCATGTATAAGACTTAAAAAGAAGATATGGAAGATGTAGCAGCTGTCAAGAACTATAATGGATGAAAACAATGCAAAATTTGGATGATGAAAAAAAAAGAAAACCAACGGTTTACACTTCGCATCTGGAAGATGTGTGCACATAATGGAAACTGGGACGACTAATCTGGGGAATTTGGTAAAACTGCATTAGAGACAATGCACAGCTGGTCTCTACATTATAGAAAAAGGACATCAATGGCAGCATGTAGGAGACTTAACAATGAAGGTATGGAAGATGAAGCAGCTGTTACGAACTAAAATGGATGGTGTGCACCTAATGGAAACGACCAATCTGGAGGATTTGATAAAATCTGCATCAGCGACAACACACTAATACCTCTGCTACACAGAAGCAGGGGTCTTAAGTCTCTCACAAGTCGTGGAAGACTCCCGGAAAGCATACGGCCTCCCGCACTTCAGCGAGCAAGTATGAATCTTTCAGAAATATCGTATCTCCTGCAAATTCACGATATTTCTATGTATTTTTGTTAATATGTTTAATTTGTTGATTAATGAAATCAATACTATTAAAATAAAACAATTTCTGTATTTGGCATTATGAAAAAAAATAAAAAGACCAAAAATATCATTATTATTATAGAGCCCTGGTAATAAACACCTCAGTATGACATCACTCACAGGAGAGGGCACTGTTCAATTTGCTTTCCTAATAATCTTAACTGTCTATAAATCTCTATTAACTTTGTAATTGAGTGCAGTTATTATGGTAGAATATTTTCAGCTCATCATTTTATAAAAAAATAAAAATAAAAATCTATTTGAAAAACAAATTTATCTTAACCCTAGTTGTTTTCAAATGTTCTGGTAATCTTTTGTGCTGAGGCTATTACTGTATTATATTTGTGGTTAAGACAATCCAAACCAGTCAGTCGTCGCAAAAACTTTTAGTTATTATTATACAGGGGTAAACAGTAAAAAGTGGGCTATAAAATGGTGAAAAAATCATTTAAATCTGACATTTCCTTATGAAGTTACAAGCATTTAAACATACAGCTGTTTAAAGAACAATATTTGAGAAATCAGCCTTCAAAATTTATCATTTCGGGAATTTCACAGGCAGAAATCATCACCAAATCGTCCAAAATTGTTGTTTTAACATTGAAAATAAGAAAAATAACATATATATAAAGGTTAGTTTAGTGCAATAAAATAGTTTTAAAAAAATGTTGACATTCCAGCATGTTTGGCCATTATCTCTGAAACATGATTTGCGACGAGTGACTGGTTTGGCTTGCCTTTGCCACATTTCAAAGACTAGGGGCGTCATCATAAACCAATGAGACGATCAATTTGTTCCAAATACTGTGTTTTCATCGGTAGGAAATATCGCCTTTCATCTGGAATACTTGCACACTGTGGAAAAAAAAATTAATATAATAATAAATTTGTGAATTATTTTGTCCTTTTATACTTTTTATATTTTGAATTAATTAATTCAAAATAAAACGATACTCTGTGGCATAAATCTCTCAAACATCTCAAAACTTTGAAAACAATTTTAACGTTGAAAAACATAAAAATATTAATAATTTGTGAATTCTTCTGTATGATTCATTTTACACAATAATTTTATTAAAGTGATTCTCTCTGGCATAAAACCTCTCAAACATTTAATTAAAACTTTTAATTGGTCATAAATAAATATATTTATAATTAGACATCAAATACAAACAAATCAGTTTTTATTAATTTCTAATAATAATAATAATAATAATTTGGATTTGTAAAGCGCAAAATACATAGGTCTCTATTCGCTAGAAATTTGCAAATTAAAATAAACTAAAGAGATGAGTCTTGAGACGATTTTTAAATATCTCAACAGAAGGAGACTCATGAACAAAAATAGGCAAGCTATTCCACAATACATTTTTTTCAATGTAATACCAGAAAATTAAAGGTTTTATGGGTAAAATATGAACAGAAATGATTATGTTTGTACTTGACATGATCATCTTTTTCTTTCTTTTTAATTATTAATAATTTTTGCAGAAACAAATTTGGAGTAAATTTTAAAAACCATGGTAGCAAATTATATGGTTGAATTAAATAGTTTTTTTAGATATGGAATATCTGACTTACATCTGTTTCATTTGTAGCTGGCCGAATACACGTCTTCCAATTATCGTTCTGACGAATTGTCGTATCTGTCTGACCTCGTTTTAGAATCGGTAATATATGGCCTTCGGTTGTAAAGATGTATTTATTGCTCTCTTTATTCACATGATTATCAAAATCAAATAACTGTAATAATAAAAACACAAGATATGAGTTACATAGCTAAATAGCATGTTTTGTAGCACACCGAACTAAATAGATCCTTGTTATTTGATTGGTGTATCATACCATGTGACATTTGCTATTTACACCATTTTGTCACTCATCACGAAGTTCCATCCGTGCATTTTTTGTTCCATTCATTTTGTCTTATTGCACGTCTCTACCTAATAGAGTGTTTTCATTGGTTAAAAAAGATGGAGTGTCCCATTCATAAATTAACCCTACATGTGGGTAAAACAGCGTCGATCCTGTTTGGGACAAAACGAAAGCTTAGGAAACTACAAGACCGAAAGTGAGAACACAATGCCGACAACTTGAAGTTTCCAATTTTCTTGCACAAACTTCTTACCGCTTAAACTACTTGTACTTTTGTAGTAAAATGTGGAGAACATTTTATATTTATATCCATCAATCAATGTAATTTTTCTGATTTTTTTTCCCGATTGTTCTGATTATTACTTTATTTACATGGTTTATTCTGTTAAATACATACTCAAAAAATATATTTTCTGTGTCTTTGATCACATATTTTGAAATTGGTGCACATTAATTTTTTGTTTCATTATTATTATTATTATTATTATAGAATGTTTACTCACCAAGTATAAATATTTACAGGTTTCACTTAGAAAAAAACTTTCCATTCTATCCTCGTGTGTCTTATCAATAACATTATGCAAGGTGGCATAACCACATCTAAGTAAAAAGTAAACAAAGATGTTATTTTTATGTTATAAATATATTCTAAAATTTCTTTGTTCCTTAATTCTAAGTTAGCATTCAGTTTTAGTTTTTCGTAGGGAAGGGGGTGTGATCATTCAAACATATGGTACAAGTCCTTTTCACAAAGGACCAGTGAAATGAATATGTTAAAAATTATTTATCCCTTAAATAAAGTAGTTGGCAAAGGGGCCCTCAGCACACACAGAGGGCCTCAGCTCTGGTCACACAATCAAAAATTGAAGTAGGCCCATATATAGTCATCATGTGACTATATATGGTCATAATGTGATGTCATCATGACCATATTTAGGCATGTGACATGTTTTTGTCAAATAAAATTTGATAGTCTGAACAGATCTTTAGAATTTATTATGTCATTTTATACATTTGTGGCAATTTAACTGACACACCAGCAATTTGTCAAGTGCATCAAAATTACAAAAAAAAACCCATCAAAAATCAACATTAAAATCAAATTAACAGTTAAAAAAACATTTTTTAAAGATACAACTGAAATTATTGTAAAAGGCAAGATAATATTTTACAATACAAATAAAATATATCAATTATAAACTTACTCTGATCTTGAATACTTTTCTATACTTTGAAGAATTTCACTTCCTACTCTCAAATAAAATGGATTTTTGGTTGCCTGAAAGAAAAAAAAAACTAACTTACAAACACAGAAACAAATTGCAGACAAATATTTAACATATTCTAGGTCTAAAAAAAGCAATGTAAAAGGACTTGGTACTGTTTTCTTAGCATTTTTCTTCTTACCATCAGCTGTGAATGGCTGAGTACTGTTTTTTTAATGGCAGATTCTTCTCCTTTCTAGCAAAAAATTTTTAGTTTTCCAATTTTGATATAATTAAAAGCTATCTTTCTAATCAGGATTTTTTTTTTTCATGTTTGCATTGACTTTTGCCTGGTTAATAACAAATTCAAATCAACTCAACTTAGATTCCTGAATAATATATTGAAGGTTCCTTTTTTTTTCAATATTTTAGGGCACTCTCAATACCAGTTGCCATGGATTAGGTGTGCATTGTATTATCATTGTTATGAAATGATCAAGCAAGTAATACGAACCTGGTATAAAAAATAAGTAGATTCCACTAGCTCTGGTCGTAGAGGATAGAAGAACACTTCTGGTTTCTTCAAATGCCAGTTATAACGTTCGGGGAGAGCACCATACTTGCGCCAGATTGCGTAATAAATAGCATGGCTACATATTGCTTCATCAATGTCACCCTTTAAAACCTAACAATACAAACAATAAGATATCAATCTCTTAACCTCGGTCCACCCTATCAAATATGGGTGTGATATGCCCATATATGGACTCTAACCACAAAATTGTAACAAAAAAAGTGAATAGAAATATTTGTAGTAATAAAAATGGTATTAGCAGGGTTTAAATATAATTTAAAGAAATGCTTGGTATTAATTGAAGAATAAAATTAGGGTTGACTTCAGAAGAACGTTTTTTTAATGGAATAATTCAATTCTAGTAAGCAGTTTGGCGAAGTGGAACGAGTATGGATTCTCAGCCTCAAGATCAGAATTTCAATCCTGTTGATGTGAATTTTGTTGTATCCTTCATCTATGCACTTTCTGTTTACTGCTTCAGTCTGCCCGGTTGTATCAATGGGAATTACTGGAAGTAATCTGTGACAGACTAGCATCCCATCCAGGAGGAGTATCCCACTCTTATCTTATAATGTCTACCTGAACTCCAGAAAAGGCTGCCTGCAGTGAGTCAATCCAAGAATTGATTGTCCTCCCATCTTCCATTCTTACATTTACATACATTGGAGTCTCTCCTTTTCCAGAGTTACATTCACGCCTCCTGTAAACAGCAGAGGGGGTAAAGATTATTGAAGGAATATCCATAGCAAACAAATTAAAACGACAAACATCTGATATAAATGCTCAGTTTGATTGGTATGTTGTTTTTGTAAGTGGGTTGGTACAGAAGACAATTCTAACATTAAAGATTTTAATGCAATAATGATACTTCCATGTCTTCATTTTCCAACACTGCCTTCAAAACCATACAATCAAATACTTAACATTGTCAAATGCTAGGACTAGAAATTAATATAGTACTATACTCTTACCCTCTACGGTTGAATTTCTTTAAGTTATCATATGCCTCATTAAATAACTGCAGATCCCTTTCTTCACCAAACAAGATGAAAGACTGCAATAAACAAAGTATAATATTTTCATTTTTTGATATAGATAGTAAAAAGCAAGCTAAAAAAGGAAAAGTTAGAGATAGAGACTGATAAAATCAATAACAAAAAACAAGTTACATTAAAAATTCAATTCCCATCACTGGCTCTCCTTGTATTTCTGCTGGAGGGCTGAAATACAAGTTATAATAGCACACCATGTTTCGGATGAGATGTTTAAGCCGTTGGTACAGTGTGCATTTATGTCCCATGTGCACGTTTAAAGAACGCAGTACACTCTTCGGAAAAGATTAGGTGATTGTCTCCCGTTGTACTGCCCAATCACCACCAAAAGGACCCCACTGGAAATAAGTCTTCTTCTAGACTTTCGTGGGATATCCTTGGTGTTTACACTGAAAAAAAAAATTCAATTCAATTCAATTCAAAACAAAATTAATAAAATTATACAAAAAATTATCATCTAACCTTTAACAGGTATTCAAAGAATGAATCAAGTCCAGCGCCTACTCCACTCTGCTGCCCCTTCCACTGACCCGTCTGAATATTAATCACATTTCCTACAAAGATATCCAAATATTAATTTCAATATTTTCACACATACTGTAGGTCATACATTATTCATCATTTTGCAAATGACATCAAATTGTTGAAGAAGAAAAAGCAATAATTTTTTACAAGGTTAACATAATCATTTTTTCTTTTTAAATTCAGTCACCCCGAACAAGTACAAGAGCCACTCATTTTAAGGAGTTAGAATAGTTAAAAAGAAAATGGTTGACACAAAATTTAAAACTTGCAAGGTGAAAGGAAAAGGAAAAGAAATCAGCTAGCAAAGTATTCCAAAGAGAGGCCAACAACAAATTAATGAATTTGTGGATGTTCTGTTATAGGATGTTCATGAGTGAACAAAGCTACCAGGGCGGGTCCAGAGATGTCCGAAAGGGGGGGGGGAAAGTGGGGTGATCGAGACAACACCACTCTAGGGGGTCCTGGGGCATGCCTCGCACAATTTTTGTTTTCTATCCTAAACCTGGGGAGACTGAGGCTGGCCGTTCCCTCCTCCCCCTACTAAATTCGCCCCTGTCTACTGTACATTGAATCTAGTCATAACTGTCCAAATTATACTATCGTAAAAAATAATAAGTATACTTACCGAGTAATCCAGTATTTTCTGACCTATGTGACCATAAAATTTCAACAGCATTTCGCGCGGCTCTTTCGTACACTGGGTCATCAAGTAAACGACTCAGAGTTCCAAATTCTAAAAGCAGTGACCCCGCCCCTGCTGTGCAGGTTTCAAAGGATCCATTTATTGGAATACCAAAACGAAGATTCACCTTTAATGAAAGAAACATTTAGGGTCATTCCACCTCAAATCAACCAAATTAGGAATTGGCCAAGGATAAAAAATAGGCCATAACAAAAATTCACATATTTTATTAAGAATTTTGTTTTAATGTAATTAAAGGAATGTATTGTACAATGGTACACATAAAAAAAAACTAGTTATTTACCCTTGGGTGTGGAAGACCTGTGCCGGTTCCATCGAAGGCAGGAAGAAGACGATTGGCAAGATCTTGGGCAAGATGAAGCAGCTCATTAGCATAACCATTTGGACGTATATCACCCAGGGGTTTGTTGTCATCCATAATAAGAATATGTGCTGATAAAAGTGCTCCTAGAACTCTGCAAAGGAAGTTGTAATAATTATTATTACATCCTATCCTAATTTATATTAGACAATGGGCAAAGGATTCAAGAATTTCATGCCTACAGGATGCCCTTTTCTCTGCTCTACTTACTGCATCATGTATTTGTGATTCAGATAAAGTCAACCTCACATTACACCTGTATATGGTACCTGGACTAGTAATGTAATACAAAATTTGCATACTGTAAACATATTTGCATACCTTATAGTTGATTCGAACACCTGTACTGTGTTGTCCGTATCAAAGTGGACATTTCCTATAACCATTTCAACAGCGTTCTTGAATTCTGAGGTATTTCCCATTATCTGTTAAAACAAAACAGAAACATGAAAAGTATTAGGCCTGATGAATACAGTACATTTTATGTAATGCTGTATTGCTAGTATATACAATAAGATGGTTGTGAAAATTATCTGAGAAAGTTCAAATTTGAACTTCATTGTTTTTTCATTTTCATTCTCTTTTCGTTACCTTGCAAATGTAATATTGAGGCAGCTGTAGCGCGAGCATCTCTCTATGAACGATAGATACTTGCGCCTTAACATGTAAATTTCTGATTGAATGACAAATTGATTGTTTGATTGATTAATTGATAACAGTACTTACTGCTAAAGTATCTAAGCTGTCAACTAAGGTAAGTGAATAATCTCCTAGTACATCATTGATATTTATATTTGATCTGCAAAACAAAAACAGAACAAAAATTAGTATTAAAAATAATGTCAGAATTTTCTAATTTCAGTATTAAAATGGAAAAGAAAGAGTTTGATGTGGAACACTTGATTGACATACGGTAAGCACAATGTACTGTAAAAACTGAAAGGTCCACTATTATCAGATAAGATAGTATAATACATACTCCAAGTACCGAAATACATAGTACTGTACAAAGTACTGTAAATATACATATTTTATTTTGGAGATTTCAAGGCAATGGCGAGCAAAATAAATATAAAGAAAAACTTTTATTTTTTTCCGAAATTTCCAGTTTTTTGTGGCCATGGGTGCACAGCTAATAAAATTTTATTTTCATTCGCAATCATCAATATTAGAGGGTGGTGGATGTGCGAAACTAAGTATAAAAAAAATCTTGCCTAATTGGAAATTTCCGTAGCCCTTAATGATTTTTCCTGAGTGCAAAAATATGGGTTGCTCAAAAGTATTGGTTTAGTATAGTGTAAACATAGTTGTGGTAGAAGATTTACTATATGGGTCAGTTGTCTCTTTGTCTCAGTAGGCCTAATGTGACATCTATAGAGTTGAATAGCTTGGTGGTTAAGGAGCTTGTCTTCCATCCAATCCCAGTGTCCTGGGTTGAACTCTAGTGATGGTAACAGGATTTTCTTTTTTTTATGACCAAAACATATGTGAAGTTGTCTACAGTGTATAGAGCATCTTGTGTATGTGTTTTTTTCAATTGTCTTTTTATCAGTGTATTTTGAGTGTGCCAGTTTCCTAGTGCAATTTGTTTAGATAGGCGCCTATTTTAGTTGTACTTTATTCTCCCAACTTCAATTTCACCATTAACATTTTACTATCTATTTTGAATATATGTGAATGAACTGCCACTTGTGCTATTTGAGATATCTTTGGTCATCGTGCCTAAAGTTGTAACCAACTACTGTTATCAACACATCAGATTTACATAAAGTTGTCGGAACAATACCCATGGCCATAAAAAAAAATAGTTGTCTCCAACTTTGTTATGCTTTGGCCCTGATTTTAACATTCCCCCTTCTATAAACTTATACTAACAAAAAATACAAAATCTAGTAAGCCACTGACATTATTCATTAAAATAGGCCTACAGTATGACAACATCAATTTTTCTAAATAAAATTTTAAAAAGGCAAAGCAACATGAAATCAAACAACTCAGGCCTGCCACCACCTCCCTTTTCACACCACTCATTTATACACTACGACTGTGTACGGCCTAGGCCTTAATAAGCTAGCCCTTAATCCATACGAAACTTACGGGTCGCCCTTGTCTGGCCCTCGGCCTCTGCAGTGAATAGGATCCAATTCATCCTTTGGAAAGGCGTATTGAAGGTAGCTATCGTAACCATGTTGGAACATACGGCGAACGTGATCTAAGTTTTCTATCCTTTCCCCTTCACTAAAATATGTATATTTTTCATTGTAAAAACCCCAGGTACTAAAAAGATAATTGAACTTTCCCGAAGACACGACATCTGAACATATAAGGGAGAAAAATGACAACAAACAACTCAATGTAAACACCTTCAGCATCTCAATCGTGTCGCTCATCCTGTGTCTCCGATCCTCTCTCTATCTAAATTGCCGTTCCTATTATTTTGATCTATTTACACGTCATAACAATGGCATGGATTCTGTGTGCGTTGAGGCATTTACGGATCTATAGGGCAATTTCATTCGGTTGACCTACATTTTCTAATTCATAAAAATCTACATTAATCCATCGTTATACATTTTTTTTATTATTGTCACCATTCTATTGTACCACGTCGTAAATAATAATAAGCCTATTAGCGCTCTCACTGTTGTGTTAACGAAAAGTACTGTAGTTAGTTTTAACACGACTTTCTCTAATTTGTTTGGAGGTTTACCTATATGAAAGAAAATGGCGGTTTTCAATAGTTAGTAGTCGGAAACAGTGAAATGGTACACAGAATATCATCGCATTGATTCATATTAATAATTTAGCTGCGTATTGTAGATCCCAAGTTAATAGGTAAATATCCAATTATATATGTCATAATTATAAATTCAGAATTCTAAAGGCTGACACTACAATCCAGTCAGTATTTCCTAGGTCTAGCCTAGGCCTAGGCCTATACCTAACTAGGGTCTACCCTAGGGCTAGGCCTAAATAAACTAAACACAACAAGATTCGAAGAAGTCAAGTACTGGCCAGCCAGGTACCCTTCTTGGCTTGATGCCGTCTTATCTAGGCCTACCTGAGGAAGGCTAGGCCTAGCCTGTAGTTAGTTACGCCTAGGTTGTCTGTGTGTAGGATCGATTTTAGGATTTATTTGACAAATCAATTTGGAGTGCCATGATGCTGGAGGTAGGCCTATTTTGTATTTTTTTTCATATCATCATGAATAATCATATTTTGAGTGAGTCTTACTTTTTTCCTCAAAATCTAGGACTAAGCCCTAGGCCCTATTTGTTAGTGTTACATAAGAAATATTTGTTATTCTGATCAGAGTTTCCTTAGACCTTTTGTGATTTGAACGTTTTTCTCATCCTCTTTGTACTTGTTCCTCCTTGAATTTTATGTCAGTACTGTTTGTTGTTTATTGATCGAAAAAATGAATGAATGAATGAAAGTAGGCCTACTGTATATAGTAAGGCCTGCGTGGGAATATATCCTCCGCGCAAAAATTTGGCCTAGAAATCCGTTCGTGCAATTTAAACGAATTTTTGCCGAAAATTAGGCTTTGACCAAATCTTAACCAATGCAATTATGCAGCAATTACGATTCCACGCAAATTTAAGCTAATTTTTTAAATATCCGTGCAATTAACAGTACGGGGTCTATACACTGTAATAAAAACAGGCAAACATGACTTTAAGAGATTACTGTAGCTTCCAGCATATTTTAGATTGCTCGTAGATTGCTGATAGACTCCTGTTTCTGCCTCGTCTTATGGTTAGGTTTTGGAGTGCGCCCTCAATAATCATTGCTAAAATGACAGTTGCCTTTAATAATTATCAAACTTCCATTCATAGCACTTCTGTATTTCTTGATGTGCCCCAGTGCCCAAAGTCCACATGGCTGAAGACTTCAAACTTGCTACTGCTGGAGATGACATCAAAGTGTGGGACCTGAAGAGTTTCTCGGTTACTGAACAGTACAACCCGCATACCAGTGGGATCTCCGACATCTGCTGGAGTCACAACAATATCCTTCCGATTTAATAGTTTATTTTTCTTCAAATTATTTAGTATTAAATAATTTAAATAGTCAATCATTGATATTGTAAAAATATATTAATAATAAAATTATTTTTGAGTCTTATGTTTTTTGTTTTTTTTCCCATAAATCTTAAAAAAAATAGAAGCTTCCTATTAAATTATACCTTCTATTTTGTGGGTGTACCGTAGGCCCTACATATGTGTTCTTTGGGTAAGTATGTGATTGCTTTTCTGATGCACTTAACGTCATTGTCTCTATGCTAATACACTGGTCCTATTTTCTAATCAGTTCGGTAAGCTTTCCGAAATTCAGATTCGGTCTCAATGTACAAAAGTATTTATTCCTTAATGTTGGTATACATCAGTTGATTGCCAGTGCTTCAACATGTGCTGATAAAGTGGTCCTAAGTTTTGTCAAAAACAAGGCTAGTTCTGTCATAGAAGTTGCAGAAAATGTAAGTTAATTTCAGCATTAAATTATGTGGTTGAGAGATATTTAGTTTGATTGTAAAGAATAGGCTGTGTTAGTTTATTTTGTGTATGATCCACACTTTAGTGTTGCTGCAAAATATCAAATTTTATATGACAAATTTGTGTGATGTGCCTATATTTAGGCATAATGATTTCATACTATACCCAAATATGGGCATATCACAGTTATTAATCGTGTCTTCATTTCAGTCGAAACCTACCTGTGTAACACTGAATAGTAATTCAAGATATCTTGCTAGTGCTGGCAAGAATCAACTTGTTCAAGTATGGGACACAAAATCTTGCAAGTTAAAGAAAACCTACAAGGTATGTTCATCGGCATCCTCATTATTGTACAACCGTGCTGACGCCAATGGCAGTGACAAGTACAACAATGGTAGTCATATATTGTATTGCATAATGCCAAATGTGGTTTACGTTATTACCCGGGTTTTTAAGTATCCACTGTTCTACTTATAATTCATGAATGAATAATCAAGAGATCAACATTACATCACTGTAATAATACACATTAAAACATTTCCAAAAAGCTTTGCACGACAAAGGTATTCTGACCGATCAGAGACTGTTCAGATTGTGTTGACCGCAGAATGAAGACCATTGTTGTGCGTGACTGATGCATGCCGATGTCATGCTCTCTGTGTAAACAGACCTCAGCCCTGATGGAAGCTTAAAAATGAAACTACTTATCTAACATCTTCTTATCTTGTTATCCATAAAGGGCCATCAAGACACCATCAACTGTGTCCGGTTCAACTGGAACGACACATACTTAGCTTCAGGGTCTGCAAACGGAGAGATTTATCTGCACAATGTGGTGTCAGGCATTGCAAGTAAACCGCTGGTGTCACCAGGCACTCAGGTAGGCTGTGTATTTGTTGTATTCATATAATGGAGCTACCTGTATGCATGTGTGTGTCTCATCACTACCAGTTTTCGAATTTTATGTTTTTATGTCCTAAGCATTGGGTGGGGTGGAGGACACCAGTATTCATATTGTACCTTTTTTTGGTCAAACTAACCAAGTTTATTTATACCATTACAATTATTTGCATATAATAATTTTGTAAAATTCACTTGCGTTGATAATATACTGTAGTACTTAGGCGAGACTGTTTTTATTTATTGTTTCGCATACTTGATTTTTTAAAGATTATTGAAGGAAGGCGGAATAAAGATAAAAATAAAATTGTTTTTTTATTTAGCAAATAGTTTTGCCAAAATCATCCAGACAGAGGAGAAAATAAAATTTTATTGGTAAATGTAAAATAGGATGGTTAAATGCTTCAAATTCATATAATTAGGAAGACATATACAAATCTTATCTTTGGAGATTTTAAGGCTGTGGAGGATGTAATAAAAATAAAGAAAAACATTTATTTTTTTTCTTAAATTTCAACTTTTTTGTGGCAGTGGGTGCTCTAATTGGCCAAAAATAAAATTTTATTTTTATTCGAAATCATCAATATTTGCAGTCGGCGGATACAATATTAAACAAGGTATTAAAAAGTTTCACTTAGGTTTTTTGTGGGGAATTGCCCAATGAAAACTGACTATTTCAGGATGTAGTTAGTGTTTGTAGCGTGTAAATACAAAAGTACAAAGAAAACAATTGAAACTAAAAAATTTAAACAGATATATGATAAGAATATTAAAATATAAATAAGTTTAATATATAGTATTTGATAAACACCTCAATAATTTGTTTTAAATTTTCCTTATTATGTAGTCTATTCAACAACTCGGCTACTCCTACTTCAAGAAATCATTATTGGCAGCGGTCTCAGATGATGGCGCTTTGAACCTTTGGGACAGCAATGCAAGTAAATCTGTCGCCAGTTTTACCGATTCCCACCGAGCACCTGCTACTGCCCTTAGCTTCTCTCCTGTAAACGACATGTTGCTTGCCAGTGCAGGCTTAGACAAAAGAATAGTTTGTTACAGTGTACAAGCTAAAAGGTACAAAATTACTTTTTGTCAAATGATTTATACTAAAGACATTGTACTTTACCTTTGCTCTTGATTAGTTTCCAGTAATCATAAGGCCCCCTCATTATGGGATAATAATGTTTGGAAATTAGGCCTCATGTCTGTTTGATGCTTAGATTGTTTGTATATTTTTCTTAATAATTTTGGTTGCAACATGTTCCAACATAACCACGGCTGGCTGTCTAGTTAGCACTCTTGATTTTCTACCTTGTAAAAATGTGTAGTCTGAACATATCTGAATATTGGATAGTGTCTCTTATTCTCAATCTCTGGAATGTTACAGAAAAGAAAAAGAATTCATATTTTGTGGTTCTCCTTATAAACCTATGGTATATTTGGGTTTTCTTCATATTTCCTGTTGTTGGTACTGTTCTTTATTAGGTAACATTTAAGGGATACATTTTTCATGGCTTTAAAATCTGTTCACTCAATATATCCATGGTTGTATGCAGTGGTGGCCCAAGCAGGGGGAAGAAGGGCATTTTACCCCATAACTGACAGGCCTGGACCCCCTGTCATCTGATGCCAGATGAGGTCGTCGAATAAATAATATAAAAATTATAATTTGCCTATCTAAAAAAAATTTTGATTGCTGCAATCCCTAATATTATGGTCTAATAGGACAGTTTTTGACCATACTAAAACTACGTTCACATCAAGCCCGGATCCGGTCTGGAGTCCGGACAAAAAAACGTGAGTTGCTACATTTTTTGAATGCTGCATTCACATCGGGCAAGGAACACGGTTGTTCATGTTAACTACGTATGCGTTCGATTGGTTCGAACCAAACAAGCTTGTTGCTGATTAGTCAAAGAAAAAAAACGTACGATTTCAGGATAGAAATGGCTCTCAGATCCATTGGTCCAGATCCAGAGTCCGGATCAGAAATCGTACAAATTTGATGTGAACGGTCCTATTCTTTACCACTGAACATTTTTCACGATTTTTTCTCTGGAATCCGGGCTTGATGTGAACCCAACCAGTGATTTTGTTTTTTTCCGGGACCAACCTTCTAGTCGGACCTCTTTTCCGCAAATTTCTGGGGCCACCGCTGCTTCTATGCTGTACAGCACGATTCCATTTTTTTTTTATAAATTGCACGATAACACTGGTTGCACATTTGGTTGTCTGTTGTTTCATTTCTCCAGCACAATCAAGACCATCACGGCCGAAGCTCCCCTCACGTCCATGGCATTTGCCACGGACGGTGCCACCTTAGCGGCAGGCACAACACGGGGTAAAGTACTGGTGTACGACTTACGAATGGGTGCATTACCGATAAGAACTCTCAATGCGCATAAAACCTCAGTGCAAGCAGTAGCATTCTCTAAAGCTATGAACAACAAGGTATTTTTCACTTGAAATTTTGTTTTTACATTACATCACCATTACACAGTCTTATTAGGATCTTTGTTTTTATTTCTATTTATTTTTTTTTTTCTTAACTTTACAGTAACTTTACTTATAGTTAGCTAATGTTCTCCCACATGGCTTATTTCCCTGGTAATAATATTATATTATTGTTATTGCTATTGTTATTTTTATTGTTGATATTATTATAAAATATTATAATTTTATACTTTTACAAAGAGTGAAACAATAAGCGCAGATTCAAAGGCATCACGAAGCAAGTTGATCGCTGGTGAACCTCAAATTACATCAGCAGTCAAGAACGGCTTGAAACCAGGTAAACAGGAGACAAAAGAAATCACACAGAACGGCTCTGCAGGAATACAGCCATCCTCCGATACCCTCACCAGAAAGGACAACCAAAGTGCAGATGTGGTATTCTCACCAATCAGAGAAGGTATGTCTAAGTTAAAGGAATAATGTATCTGCTTAATCAGTTTGACCATTAAGCTACGTTCACATCAAGCCCGGACAAAAAATCGTGAGTTGCTACGTTTTTTGTGCGCTGCGTTCACATCGTGCACGGAACACAGTTGTTGGGTTAAAGTATGTATGCGTTTGATTGGTTCTAACCAAGCCAGCTTGCTGATGCTGATTGGTCCAAGATAAAAAAAAACGTACGATTTCCTGATACAAATGGCTCTCAGATCCATCGGTCCAAATCAGGAGTCCGGATTAAAAATAGTCCAAATTTGATGAACCAATTTTTCACGATTTTTTCTCCAGATTCAGGACCGGAATCCGGGCTTGAAAAGAACATAGCTTTAGTAACATACCTTACATTTTTCTTTGGTTATAATTTAAAGATTTGAATGCTTTTTTTTCAGTTGTATTTTAATGCATATTTTATATTTTATTTTAGGTACAACTTTGGCTACCAAGGATTCTCTATCAAATGGTTTATCTACCAGGCCAGAGGTTCTAGGAAAGGCATCAACCCCCAAGACAGATAGCATAGGAGGTAAAATCCAAGATAATCCATAATTTTACATAGTGCTGTATAAGGCTTTACAGAGAGATTTTTACATTTGTCCCTCAAACTTTTTATCAGTGGATGTTTTTTTTCCATTTGTTGTTTTAGGTGTGTTTTCACCTCTGGCAGAAACTAGCAGTGTCCCTCATACAAGAGGCAATCCCGTTGGTTCAGTCAGCATAAGCCCCACCTCCTATCAAGCAAAACAGCCAACCACCGGTGATGTGACAATAGGGCCTGGCAGCACAACAGGTCTATCTACTGTAAGCACTTTCACAATGTGTGTTCATTTTAATGAATCATTATACCTGCATACATTGCTTACCAGATTCTGTGTGTTCCATCTCTTTATCTTTGGCCATCCTCCCAAAATACAGTGGCATATCCAGGAGTTTTGAAATGGGGGGGTGGGGTGGAGGGGAGGGATAGATGTGAAAGGTAAAGTGGGAAGGCTAATTGATTAAGTGAGGGATGCTAACCTTTGCAAAATAAGGTGATATGAGATGATTTTTATCTAGTTGGGTGTAATTTTGTGCTCTGAAAATGTTCAATGTAGGGGTGACTTGGGGCACAAACTGTTTTAGAGGGAGTCCCTACCCAATTAGGTATGCCACTACAAAAACATCCTCGCTGTTTCCCAGTACCATATCAAAACCTACATTTCTATTTCTCCAAATGATACCAGCTTCCAAATAATATAAACTCTTCTACTTTTGTGGAAGTCAGCTTATGGCACATCTGTTTATGTGTTGTATTTTCGGTCTGGTATAAGATTGGAACCACAATTATTGATTACTACGATGCCATTGCTATAATATTCTTATGTATAATTCCCACTCTACACAAGCAAATTGAGCTCAGCTTTCAACCTCACCTGCAAAATGCTCAGCCGGATATGCTTGTGTATGTCTTGCCTATTAAGACACTAAGCAATCACCTTTTAAAGCTGAGTGAAATATATTCTGTATTTTTAGTTCCTTTTGCCAAAACCCTTGTGTTTCAAATTCTGCACATCACACATTATTGTTACGTCTGAGCTTCTGATAAGAAGATCTATTTTTTTAATAGTGAATCAAAACTCAATTCAGCTGTTCTCAATTCCACAAATACTTTGCAGATTAGGCTTCAGCCAAGCAAAAATTTTACACCCTGTTGTATTCATATACCACCCAGAGTATAAGTTGACCAATAATAAAATAGCTTTGAAAATACTTTATTCCAATTTTTTTTCTTAGCCTACAACGATGAGTCCCAGGAGTACACATGTGGGTCTGTCACCCAGGCACAATAGAAAAAGTCCAAGTCGGTCATCTGTTGGAACGTTGGACCTGGACACCTCGCAGTTTAAAGTGAATGCTTCCAGTTCCAGCAAGCTGGAAAGTCCACGGCTGGAAGAGGCATTTCCTAGGCCTGACATGACCAATAGCAAAGCAGATGCTAATGAAGACATAAGTAAGTCACATGGTTTCTTATTCATAGAATATAAATATGTGGCAAAGACAAGCCAAACCAGTCACTCCTCACAAAAAATAGATTTTTATTTATTAATAATACAGGGTTACATAGTAAAATGAAAGTTATAAAATGGTCAAAGAATAATTTAAATCTGACACTTCGTTATGAAGTTACAAATGTTAACTTCATAACAACAGTATTTGAGAAATCCCCCTTCAAAATTTACGATTTCAGCTATTTGTCAGGTAAAATCTTCTTTTAACGTTTGAAATTGGGAAAATAACAACATAGCATGATGAGGTATATAAAATTCAGTTAAGTGCAATAAAATAGATTTTGAAGATGTTGACATTCCAACATGTTTCGGCACGATTTGCGAAGAGTGACTGTTTTTGGCTTTTCTTCACCACATATGTGGCAAAGAAAAGCCAAACCAGTCACTCGTCGCAAAAATCGATTTTGAGTTATTAATAAGTAAAATAATAGCTATAAAATGGTAAAAAAGTCATTCAAATCGGACATTTCCTTATGAAGTTACAAGCATTTAAACATACAGCTGTTTAATAAAGTCTTTCAAGTTATTCATGAGTTCAGACAAAGCTTTGTTCTAGATCGAAACCTTTGGATCATCAGCGCCATGTTTCTTTTCTTAGTTTACTAATGTTGTTATTTTAATCACCATTGCTATTGTGAGTTTTTATCTTATGCCATCTGTTTGTAAGTTTTTCAGAAACACCGGATTTGCTTTGGTATGCTATTATCTATGTATGAAACAGTAATCGATTTACTGGCTTTTTCTTTTATCAGATGTAGTTTCAGCAAGAAGATCCTCCGAACCGTTTGTTCCTGCCAAAAATCCTTCCAGTATTTCCATACCACATACCAACGGACCTACAGGGGATTCAGTGAGTGCGGGCGCCAAGCAATATACCACAGCACCTGCAAGTCAAGCTGGAGGATTTCAATCATTTCAAATTGATTTTATTAAAAATATGATTGATGATTCTTTGGAAGAAGTTAGGTAATAATCAGTAATGTTATTATTTATATTATTAACAATATTAAGTTTTTGATATTATTACACAAGTTAGATCATGGTTGGGGTGACTTTTCACTCTTGCAGATTACGTTTTTTCTAGAATTGATACATATATTCCAGTTTTTATTTTTTTTAAACCATACTTACAGATGGTTACCCTTCCAGTGTATCCTAGAGGCCCCTCTTAAATAAACAAAATAATGGTACTTTCATCAGTGAAGTCTCTTTATGAGGTTCCATGAGTGGTGTTATTTTTAGTTGTGAGAAAAAGTCCTGCTGAATTGAACCTAGCACCCTGGGAATAGAAGGCGAGCATTTTAACCACCAATGTGGAAATAATAGGCCTATATTGAGAACCAGAAAAAAAACCTCATAATATTTTAGTCCCATCTGAATCTCAGAGTTCAAATTTTGATGATTGCCAGGATATTTATTCACCACTATGGAAGGGGTTAGTACAAGGCAGTTATGGGCAGCCATATCCAGTTCTTGCTCTTGTGGTTTGGGGAGTTTTAAGCATAGAGACCTCATTTATTTATGCTGTATAAATCCATCTATTATTATTATTATTATAGATGCAAGTATTTAATGGCATATACATAAATTAATTGTTTTTAATGGGATAATGTTCAATTTTTTTCTTTCTTCAACCACTGCAAAAAAAACCTGTGTCTCATAAGCAGTTTTCTTTTTAGAATATATCATATGGTATTTAATAATTAGTTTTTACCATTTTAATTACTTACTAATTAATCTTCTTTTTTTTTTTTGTAGAGATGCAATCCACCGTGATATTCGTAATCTTCAACTGGAGATGTTAAGGCAATTTCAAATCCAACAGGTAAAGTTTAACATTGTGATGTATATATTATTATTATTATTAGTAAATATCCCAACTTGTAGATGTTATGTAGTGGGACTTGATCAAATGCATTATATCAAAGTCTCCACAAAAATAAGTGTACGGTGATAAAAGATGGTGCTTCATTCTATGTTACAGAAGTAAATGAATTTAAGAAAAACAATTATTTGTTTTTCTATTTGTGCTTTTTGGAAGCTGATTATTAATTTGTTGATATTAATTTATATTGAAAGCATTATGCCAAAATCACAATGCTCTTAAAAAAAATATATAACTGGTTATTTAAGATGGTGTTGCACACTATGTTAAGCAGAAGTAAATTAATTTAAGTAAAAAATCTTTTTTTATATGTGTCTTATTGTTTGATATTATTTTATATAAACAAATAAGTGACTTTTTAAAGAGTTTTTTTTTTCATATTTTACCACATATTATAACTTTTAATAAAATATTAATAAATTTAGTGTTGGTTTTACTATAATTTCAACATTCACCAATATGGTAAATAACTGTATTATTTATTTTTATGTTTCAGAGCCAAATGCAAGTAATGCTTGAAAAGTATTCTGTAAATGAAGGACTACTGAATGAAATTGAGAGATTAAAAGAAGAAAACAAATTATTAAAATCAAAATATTAAATACAGTTACACAAGAATATCAGTGTTCAGATGCCTTCCAGATGTTCAAATATATTCGTCTACCAGAGAAATTATTGGAAATCAGATGGTGGCTCACTTCACAAACAAAATGTAATCTTTATCCGTCCACCCAAGGCCATTTTGGAAACAAGATTTTGGTGCACTTTATGATAATAATACATCTTTTTCCGTCTACCCAACAAAAGGTTTTTGAGATTCAAGTTTGGGGCATATTTAATGAGAATAATCCATCACACTATAATGGCATTATTTATGAAAATTGTCCATGTTTATCTGTCTACCACACTTTTTGGAAACAAAATGATAGTGTAATTCATGATTATTCTGTCTACATTTAATCCGTCTACCTAAGCAAGTATTTGAAACATGATGGTGACATATTTTAGGATAAACATACGTCTTTCACAATTTCAACAAAGAAGTATTAGAAGCAAGATGGTGGCTCTGTTATATAGTACACTTTCTTTATCCGTCTAAGGCAGTCTAAAGAAACAGTGGTGGCACAATTCAAAAAGTTGTTGAAGTCTTATGATTACAGTACAGCTGTTCATTTGCATACTTTGTGGGACCATTTTGGAACCATTCATGTTAGAGACAGAACATCAATTTACAGGTCTCCTGCCTATTAAAAACCACTTCTCTGACTGTAGTTTCCATAGTCTTTAGCAGCTGTGGTCTCTAATTAGAATGATAAATATAAAGACATTTGTTAATGGTCTTTATTTGGAGGTGTTCTTTAAATTGAGGGTTTTTAATTGGAGGGAGGCCTGTAGTTTACTGTACTGATACAATATTTATGAGATGTTATTCAAATGTTTGTCAGATATTTATCTTTATCCAATATCTGAGAACCAAAGACTCGGACATGGTAATGACAGATAGGGAATAGCCTCTAAAAGGATTTAACGATTACAAGATATTTAACTTGACTGATTCAGGCTTGAAGTGAGGTTTCTCTATCATTTCTTAGTCTTCCAGGTAGCAGATAGGTGTGTATGAAATGTAAAAATGGCTTTATGCAAGGTGGTTTTTACGGTTTTTACAACTTTATGAAACGATAATGAATACAGTACATCTTCCCTGCAAAATGTCTGTTTTGCACCCTACAGACTGTCTTGCCTCAGCCCCTTGTCATTTACTAGTTCCATAAAGCTGAGCACTGACTGCATCGTACGACGGCCTGTGAGCGCTAGCCAATGCAATGCTGTCGGGAAATTGTCGGTGGCAGCCTGAATGAATCATTAAAAATGATCTGTTACACGTGCATTGTCACGTTATGTTCTTCCCAGAATTGCATTGACCGACAGTCACAGCGAGTGCCCAACTTTTTTCATTTTTTTATTATTCTAGAGGCAAATGTGGTGCGACAGGAATAAGTTTAAAATCCTAATATTAGTGATGTATTAACAGTGGCATATCTAGAAGTCTTGAAATGGGGGTGCTGATGTGGGGCACGAAGGTGAAGGGGGCTCGATAATCAGTTGAGGGGGGCTAACTCACAAAATAAGGTGATTTTTAACTACTTGCAATTTAATTTGGTTGGGGGGGGGGGCGCGTGCGAGTAAATTTTGGAGAGGCGTGCACCCCCCCAGATACGCCACTGTGTTGTAACTGTATTCATTATTGTTCTCATTAAAACTTGTGATTGATAATTAGTACTTAAATGATAGTATTTTGTAGAGAAATCTGTTTATATTTAGTATGGTATGCAATAATTAGAATAAAAATGGTGTAACTATCTAGGTGAAAGTAGAGGTTTATGATGAACTATCAAATTTGCATCTGTGTATTGAAAGCACCTTAGCAACAGTAACCAAGGGGTGGGGCTTAACAGAAAATTCTAATAAAATTAAAAATAATGAATTTGCATATTATGCAAATGCATGGAACAAGTGGTTAAAAACAACCAATCTGTAATTGGAAGGTCTTGGGTTCAACTCCCAAATGGAGAAAATAGTTAAGGCTTTCTTACAAACTATTGTTTTGAAAGCAATACAGAATTTATAGGAACCTAACCCAAGAGAAACTTGCTCGAGCAGACCAAAATATTAAGTGCATTTATGTGGGACCAATACAGCTGTTGATTCATTTATATTATACATTTCATGACACTGACATACACACATGCATTCAGTAATGCATACAAACATACAGTACATCCCCCAAGATGTCAACAAACTACTTTTAATGCAATTAGTTGAGCTGATATTTTGTATACAATGATTTAAAATATTAATTTAAAAAAAACATTTTGATACATATTACATCATCTTTAAAATATTAAATTTAAATACTGGAATATAAAATTTCAATTTTCCATTTAGATCAATTTGAAGAAAAGAGTCTTGCCACATTTAAGATCATACTTTTTTATATCTCAATTTAAGTTTGCTAGTTTGGACTAAATATTTTTATATCAATTGATGAGTCTATCACTGAACATGTATAAGCAATAATTAATTGTCGCTATTTTAAAATTATGCCATTGTTACCACGGTAACATAACATGTAATTGTTACTCCGCAGCTTTTTCTGTATATGCTACTATTGTAACAGTTCTTTGCTGTAGTATTTTCTTTTTCAACCCACCACTTGTATTATAATGTTTTATTATTATTATTAAATAATAAATTATCATTATTATCATTGTTTTTATTATTGCTACTATTACTCTACAGTAATTGTTGTTATTAATAATAATTATTATTATTAGGTAATAAATTATTTTTATTATTGTTTTTATTATTACAATTATTGCTATTATTACTATACAGTAATTGTTATTTATTATTGTTAATAATAATAATTATTATTATTTATTGTTGTTATGATTTTTTTTACTTCGCTATGTTGGTTTCTAACCTAACACTGAGTCTCCTCTGGGGTCCAAGAGTGAGAGGGTTATAGAAGTTGTTAGTATATTTATTATTATTATTATTGTTATTATTATTATTATTATTAATATTACTATTATTATTATTGTTATTATTATTATATTGTATGCAGACTAGAAACAAGTGTAATATTATTGATGATAATTTTCATAGCCTTTTGTTATGTAGTAGATTACAGTATTGGCTTTCACATTGTCCTTGCATCAAATGTTCATGACTAAATCTGTATATATTGTACATATAAAAGAATAGTTGCATTTTTCTATAATGCAGTTGAGAAAATATTTGCTGTTATGTTTGTTTTTTATTTACCAGAAATATTTCAATCACATTGCATTGTTGTGTAACAGGCTTTCATAAAGTGTTTCCATAATAATAATATATTAGAAATCTGATAATGATTATAAATGTTAGTACTTTTACACAAAAAGTTTAGTGGTGCCCACCCCACCCCCAATCTGTCCAGAAATTCGGAACACAAATTGACGTCAATATATATTTTTTTAAAATATGATTTTAAGTTATTTAAAACCTGTGATGGTATTTATTTGTAATACAAGTGAATGCAACTTCAATAAAAATATTTGAAATCAGACTGGATGAACATCTGACCTTTTATTTAGGTCCATAAGCACCAGAATTCGGATCCGAGATTGTTGACTGGGAAGATACATCTGGTAAGCTCGACGAAGTGAGTCAGCGCTGGGGTTGGAGAATAGAAAATCAAGGGCATTAGCTAGATTTAAGTTTGAAAAATGCACTGTTGGTTGTAGTTGTCACTTTTAATAAACACACGTCACACAGGGAGAGTCGCCAAAATACGCCACAAAATAGAATTAGGAAAATAAACTGTATGTTTAATATAATTAGGGCCTACAGTTTAACTTAAATCAACTCTTCTACTTTCACGCTTCAATTATTTTGTATGCATTATTATGCATATTTACTTAATAACTTGATTGATATTTTTTTTAATATTTATTTTAAAATAATGGTGCAATCTGAGAAAAACTCAAAATAAATAAATTTCAGTGTTCAGAGACTATTTATTACCGGTACATTATAAACGATTTTTAATTCTTTAATTTATGCATTATTTACTACTTAGAATTGAGTAGGGTTGTGGAGCAGGGTAGGCCTATTCTTGCATGTGATGTAAATAAAAGTATTTTGCATTACCGGTATATTAAGGGATCACGGTTTTACTATAGATAGTCAAGCTTTTTTGCAATATAGACCTACAATTAAAAAACAACAGTACAGTGCACCAAGAACCCTCAGGCCCGTAGCCAGTTCTTCCAAGGGAGGGTTTTCTGGGCGTGAGGTCCACAACGAAGCCCCGGTGGGGCCGGCGAAACCCCCAAAGCAAGAGGATTTTTGTGTGCTTTATGGGTCTAAATAATGCTGTAAAAGCAGATATGTTTGAAAATGTCTGGGTGGGTCTGCAGTGCATTAGTTGGGTTGGAGGACTTATTTGGGAAATTTAAAGAGGGGGTTTCGCCATAAAAAAAGAAGGGGGTTTGCTAGAAAAAATAAAACCAATAAAACTAGAACCATAAAAACCCCCCTGGATACAGGTATCCGAAACCCATCTAATTTCTGACCACTTCTCCAAAGAACCAAATAACCCTCTGATTGGAGACCGAACCTCAAAACCACCCTAATCTCCCAAATGGTCTTGCATTGGAGGGCGAACGTACTTTTAGAGGTACTTATGACAGGAGGAGCTGGGTGTTTTTAAAACCTTGTTGTTGGAAAACTTCAGCTGACTAACAACATTCCACCAATCATATGCTGTGATTTCAAGTTCGGAGGTCACAGAAGCAACACCGTGAAAAGTTATTTTTGTGTCAGTTGCGGCGGGGTGTTGTTTTAGAATTTGTTTGTAACGTAGCTGCATTGGATATTATGAATTTTTGGGGAGTCAACTGGATATATAACACTCTTTAATATTATCTCCTCGAGTTTATCTCTATAATGCCGGGCTGGCTGCCTTCGTGTCTGAAACCTTCACCAGGTATGTAATAATGGTCGCTAGGCCTTAGATAGAGGGCCCATTCAACAAATAGCCCACCACCGCCACTCGTTTGCCAGCCTTTCTTAGACTAGGCCCTAGGCCTAGTTTAGTTCTGTAGGTGGGGCCAAGGGCCTAAAACCTAGGCTAGCAATACTACCAGTAGTATTAGTACACTGTTCTGTAGTACAGTTATGTTATGTTATATAATATAGGGAGGCCTAAATTAATACAGTAAAGTAAAGTAATTAATTATAGTATCATTTTATTTAAAAGGGTTACATGTAAACGTTAAAAGCTTTGCTTCCAATGTAGTTCCTTACTTCTCATTTTCATATTTCATACTTTTTCTATTGTAATCACACATTTATTGAATATTGTTTTAAGTATCTGTATTGTACGACTGTCACACGGGATACGTTGTGCCATAATAGGCTTAATTCATATTCAAGACAAAGTACAGTACATAAATGTTACAGTCACCAACTTCTCGGCTTTGTTTGAAAACTTTGCATATGGTTCTGTTTACTGACAGTATTGAAATAATAAGCAGACAGAAAGTAACACATCTCTTTTGACTTATAGTGGACGTTTATTTTGAATATTTTCGGGGTTTTTGATGACATCGAGGCATACGTAAAACCAAGGGTTCGTATAACTGGGGTACGTAAAAATGAGGTTTTAGTCTACTGTAATAATATAAACTCTCCTTTTTCTTTTTGGTTTTTTTTCCTGTAAATATTTTGTATTTGCTTTGATGGTCATTTTTTTAAAAATCTAATTTATTTGGAATCGTGGCGGTAGTCTTGAAATAGAATTCTTGACTGTTCTGTTGATAAAGCAAGGCAGTAGCTACTGTACTGTTTCACCAGTTTTTAAGCTACAATAGAACCACCATTAACCCTTACGCTGCTATCTTCGAATAAATGCAAACACTGCACAGTTGGTGTGCATGCATAAATGCGGTTAGGCTCACTGTCAGCCGTATGCCACCTTCGCATAAATGCAAATTGGTGAAGGTCTTAAAAAAAAACGACCATAGAGCGGCTGTTTTAACACTAACCCAAATAGTGTTTTCTGCACATTTTGATGTGGAACTTGCTGGGTGTTGTTTTGTTAGAAGTTTGAGTTTTTGGAAGTTGAAAATATGTTGTTTTGAAATGTTGAGAAACTTTATTCTTCTGCAGTTATTACAGCTATGCTGGATAAAAAGGAGACTTAGAAACTGCCATAAAAAACGATGTTATTGTCCTAGGCCTAGCTAGGCCTGAACTGTGATGGTAATGTTAGTAAAAATATGTAGGTCTAGGATTCGTTATTTTGATTTTCATCAGCAAAAAATTTTACTTTGAAAACACATACTCTGGTAATAGGCCTAGGCCCAATATACTATTTGTGATAGGCCTTGACAAAATATTCCTATCATTTATTCACTAAATAATAAATAAAATGCAGAAATAAAAGCATATATGTACAAACCAACTAATGCTGATTAATTTTTTTTTTTTTTATTTATATTTTCATAATCTGAATAGTTTATGAATTATTGAGCAAATAATATACACTATCAAAAATAAGCATTATGGTGACCTTGTTAAATAATTAGCTGGCACAGGGGATTAGAGGTAATGTTATCAGCTGGCGCTCTGGTTGACTGAATCAGAAACGAGCTGGCAGCGTAAGGGTTAAGGGGATACCTTCGGGACCAAAAAAATGTCCCCTGAATAGAGGTATTCAGGGGACACTAACCAAAAATGTGAAACTGTCCCTTTAATAGGGGTTTTTGGCATGTTTTGGTATAATGATGACACATATTCTTTATAATTTTATTTAAATTGACCTAAGAATGGGTTAAATTAATTAATTTAGTTCAATAATTTGCAACACAAAAAAAATCCTTTTAACTTTAAGATATGAAATTAACCGATATTAAATTACTACAAAATTTGTGGATTTTCCCAATATTGTTTCTTTATTCAAGTAAAATGCTAATGACCAAATATTCTTTTTTTTTTTTTTTTCATATTGAGCTTTCTATTGGATGTCAAGATAGAATACTATTAATTAACAGATAAAAGTGTTCCCTTTTGTAGGAGATATATTGTATCGATTTGACCATTTTGCACACTCAAAAGGTGTTCTCGCCCCCTTGATAAGGGAGTTGGCTGTAGTGTTGGAAGATATTGCCCGTCCTTTTAATAGAAAGATGTCCCCTTAATAGGGATGTCCTCTGAATAGGGGGTCCCAAAGGAGGAGTTCTACTGTAATTCTTAATTCTGATTGGCTGTTATTGGCCTAACCCCATGTATGTACAGTACTTCATAATTTATTCCTTTATATACAGTACTGAACATACATTTTTCATTTTCAATACAATATGAATTGATAGAGAACTTTAAATAATTTCTTTTTGTTTATAAAGTCAACAACATAATAGGCTCTGAATGAATGCAGATTGAATTAATTATGTTGTCCATTTCTGAAAAAGTGTATTGATCACGTACAGTAGCCTACATTCATCAAAAAGAAGAGAACCCAACCTAGCCAACTGTCAAGGTTTTTTGCTCGGCTCTCATGGATGTGTTTTTTAATAGCCAGGAAGATTGTTTGAAGTTTAAAACTTAAATATATTCTTGCAATATTTTGTCTTAGTTTTACAGCCAATGTGTAATAGCCAAGGGATGTTTTGTCTATTAAAACACTAAAAAAATTATCAAA